CACGTATCTTCTAAATTACCTTCTCCAGTTAATTGCCTCAACTCTCCAATTTACACCTCTGAGTATTTGGCAAGAGTCCTACTTCCCTGCCACTTTTCCCTTCCCTCCTTCATTCTACCTGCAAATTATTTCCTTGATCTTCCTAACCATCTGACTTTATTAATCCATTTCGTTTTCTATTTCTGAACTCCTTCCCCTTTCTCTGAAAGGTTCCTCAGACTCAATATTTAGTAAATTCTACTTTGGTTTCTTGCAGACTTCACTGCACCCAATATGGTTTCCTCGATGTACACCTTCACTCAGTGCATTTGGAAACGATGCATTTTTCCTTCTGCAGGTTTGTACTGGAAGGAGGAAGCAAAGACTCCTGCACCACCACTACGAGATGGAGACCAAAGTGGATTTGTGACCCTGCTCTCCTTTCCGTGCTGGCACATTTGAATATTTTCTCCTGTTCCACCTCATGGACCCAACTTTTAAATCTCTATTAAGCTGCTTTCCTGAAATTTAATATCTTTCTACCAGCACAGTCTCTTTACCATCCACATTTAAAATTAACCTTTAATGGTGAGTCTCTAGGGTCTTAATCAGCCTGTTAACACTGGCTGTGTACAAATCCAAACCAGTCCAAAATCATGCAATCATTACCCAGTACAGTCAAAGTAGGTGCTTTTTCAAGAGTTATTTCTTTTTGGGTATGAACTGATCAAAACTGGAACAAGAGCATTACAGATGTCAAGTACTAAGATCTGTTGGCAGAGACCTGTGGGCAAGGCTACGATTTTCCACAATCTTCCAACCTCATTACCTGTGGCAGTAAGCAAGAAAAAAAAAACCAGCCACAAGTAATGGGAATAAAAAACTCAGCAAAAGGTGAGCAAGGAATGATAAGAGAGAAACATCGAGCTCCATCAAAGACCCTATAACATGCGGATAGCCAGAAGAAGCTTGATTTTGACAAAAACTAAAAAAGTAAGAAAAAGCGAAAGGTATGTTTCTTTCGGAGCCTGAGCTCTGCCTCTCCTTAGAGAGGGCTCTGATAGCTGGGGACTGTTTACCCACGAGTACACACGCACTCAATTTGTGTTCCATAAGCCCTTCAAAAATTTGATCTGATCTGGGTAAATGCTGCCATTTTTGCCTTTGCTGGAAGCAGAAATCTTGCAATCACCGCAATATTCTAATCCTACCTAGAAATTCTACTTTTAAAGCAGACAAAGGTAATAAAATGTCCGTACCCATTCACATCTCTGCCCTACACAGTGATTTTACTTATTTTACTTCAAGAAACAGCAGGGATTAGATGGCAAATACACAAGTAGGGCAACGCAAACAGCCCCAGCCCGTATTCCCTGTTCTTCTCTACTGAAATGCATGAAACAGCTCTATGCCTTAATGTGGTTCATCTTTCTCATTAATAAAAGATGAAAATGCATCTCTGCATTATTTAATATACTCTATATATCCAACTCCTGCACACGCTTCAAAAGGGTCTTCAGTTCCTGCCCTCTTCAGAGAAGCATTCAGGTAACTCAGTCAAAAAGGTCCCGGGCAGCAGAGGCTGCAGGGCCATGGCATCTATATGGGATGTATTCATTTATGTCTAACTTGTCCTTAAAAACCTCCAGTGACGGATGCTGCAGCATGCCCGGGCAGCCTCCTCCCCTCCTCACACGTCTGCATAAGAAGTTTTTCCTAATTTCGCTTTTAAAATTCCCTGCAAATAGAGACAGTTGATTCTCTGTGGATGTGAAGAACATCTGAGCACCGCCCTTGTAGTGTACTCCCTAACACCTGCCCTCTAATTCACTGCAAGAAAGTATGAGAAATGTTTTGTATTGCTCCTGGTTTCTCTTCAGGGCTGTCACACTATCATAACTTTTTTACTGACGTAACATGGTGCAAGATGAAAATTAGGCCTTTCATCTTACACGATCACACACCCTCTGAAGTCCTGGCTCAGGAGGACACCTTTCATGTCAGGCCCTGGAAACATTTACCCTGAGGTTTATACCTCACCGTGGTTAGCTTTTTCTGGGTCCGCACAAGCCTTCTTACTGCTTCCACAGATAAAAAAATTGTTGCCCGCCCTTAACATCACATTTTCTGCCCTAAGAAAATCAAGGCTGTGCCTTGCCTCATTGCCAGCCATCTGCTCCCAAATCTTGCTACATTGCAGAGGAGCGGCTGAGCTGGTCCTTCAAGCGGCCATCCCAGCCTCTTCAGTATGAGGCTGCACAAAGCCCTGCAGGAGCTCCGCTGGACCTACAGCCGCTTCTGTCCCTGAAGAAAGAAAAAGCAAAGAAGCTGATGAGAGGTGTTCTACCTGTGGGGATGCACTGGCCCTGGGTTCTCGTGGAGCTCAGGACTGTTCCCATCTGTTTTCCTTTCACCAGACACTAATGTTGTCTTTGATTTTAGCTACCTGCTTTTTTTGTTGCTGTTAAAGATGTTCTTTTATTCCCTACCCTCTCGCACAGGTCTGTTCATTCATACAAATCCTAATTTTTCTGTCTGCGGGTACAGAATTTAGCTTAATTGCATAATTAAGATGTCCATCCTTGACTTAAAGCCCCTATACAAATCACATGAAAAGTACATGCTGAAAATTTCCTAAGTCTGCAGGATTTACAGACGAGAGAACTAAGCATAGTAGCACAAGTTATGGACTTTCAATCAAAATGAATGCAAATATCACAAAGCACATAGACCTTCCCTTTGCAAAGGTACACTGGTAATAGAGGTTTAGAGGCAGAGTTAAGGTTAGTGGGGACAGACCCTCGTATTTCCATGAAACACGCTAATAAATAAATAACTTTAAAATAATCTTACTTTAAAATTATTTAACTCAATCCAGTTTGCTACTGTTTTTTTTAAAGCAACCTTTTAATTCCCCTCTTCTCTTTCAAGTTATGAGCAGTTATTTACAGCCCAAGCTCTGCTTCAGTTAATTGTTTTGTCTAGAAATACTAATTAGAGATCAGCAATTTCCACCGATGTCATTACCACAACAAATCTTAAGGAAGAGCCTAGAAACATATTTCTTCTTTTTCAGAGGCAAATACAGCTTTCAGAGTGACCTTCTCACACTGAGTTCATATTGACTCAGACATCCTTCATTCCTCTATATTAGCATTTCTAAATCACAGAAATGACATCAAAGAAACCATAAGGGTCTGACTTTTATCACCAAAATAAATTCTGATTTAATGTACTCTTTGCAATACTTAGGCACAATAGAATACATGATTAGAGCATAGTGGAGTTAACAGTATACCCATCGTGCCTTGTTAACTGAGGATGCACGGTATACTCCCACTTAAAATTTGAACTTTGTAGCTTTTATGGGTTTAATTTAGACCCTTGGGGCTACATATGCATTGAAGATTGGACACATAACATCCGTTACTGTTAAAAGTGGCTGCACACACAGTCATTGATGTTTAACACAGAAAATTAGCTTTTTCTAATTTCATTTCTGATTACTATATCTTTTGTTTCAAAAAAACCCTAGCCCACAGTTTAACTAAAATGTCCTGAAAATGACAAATGTTTGATTTTAGCTTTGATGGCATGACTCTGAAAGAAGCAGAGCAAAGCACAGCTAAGCACATGGGAATTTGACTGAAACCAGTAGGGCTACTTATACCCACCAGGATAAGGATGTGTTCAAATGCTTTTCTGGATTGGGACCAGAACCCGGTAAAATCAACCCCTAAGACCTAATTTTGAGAGCAGACATGCACACAGTTTTTAGGTGGGTTTGGTAAGAGAGACTATTATTAAATTTGTTTGACAGATCCCTATTTAAGATGCACATTTTACACACCAGATGCCTGCCTGAAGCTGAATATTTCAGGGGGAAAAAAAAAGTCAAACAAAATGGTTGGATCATTTCTGAGAAAATACATAATTTGATCTGACATAACCTAGCCTCTGAGTTTTTTAATTTGCAGACTTAAACTGTACCCCCTCATACTTCATAGCAGCTCCGTAAGTAAAATACAGAGGGAGATACCTTAGCCTCTTATTTGTGCTATGGGTATATCACACGTGTTCATGCCATAGTTTGAAAGCATGCACTGTTTTAAAATGTACATGTATTTTTAGTAATTAAATTCTATGAGTAAAAATACATTTTAGATTTATATATACAAATCTGATCTCCAAAATTATACATATATTCACTGTTCTTTTTTTAAGAAAGAGCCAAAACCATCTCCTTTATATAACATTCATTCATTAAGCCTAAAAATGCCTGGTGTTGCCTGATGCAAATAATACAAACCTACCTATGAAAGGTGTTTTTTAATTAAAAGCCCATTTTGTGATCTGGCAATGTGAAATAAAGGGCTCTCAGACTGTTAAGTCTGACAATACTGAATTGGCTCTTTGTCTATGGCACAGATTTCACACTTATCTGCATGCTTAAGTGCCACGCTGGACAGAAACTAAATGACAGTCAACCTTCCAAAACAAACCCGCAGGGGACCTGGACGAATGCTTGGTATATCAGGAGGTTCACTCTAATAAGATGCTACATCAGAATAATGAAGAACTATGCCATTTGCATTCAACAGAAACAGACAGTAATTCTGTGGCAATTCTTTCACACAAGTCAATGTTCTGGCATCTTAAAAAACCCTGCAAAATCCAGCAAATGATGAGGAAGGCGAGCGATAAGCAGGTCAGCCTTATGCAAGGGTCTGCCTAATTTGGCTAACTATCAGTGGAAGAACTCTTTTTTTGCCGATGGATCTGCTCAAAAAGGGTTCGTTACAGGCAGGGTTTGATCCAATGAACTCGGGCTGCAGTGCAAACTTAAGTATGATGCCTTGAAAGGCAGGGGGGTGATTTTTCGGTCATGGCAATGATGCTTTTGACTCAAGTTGAAGGAGGAGGAGCAGACCCTCTGCCAATGCCACTGTCAGGCTCTGATGGTAACTGCACACACTCGCTCAATACACAGGCAGCTGCTGTGGCAACAGTAAATGCTTCACCTTGCCATGCATGAGAAGGCGTATGGTAAGCGTGACATTGAGACCTCCTTCAGTCACTTTTGTGTCCTTCGTGTTCATCCTGGCCTTGTATCTTCAATACTTGAAAGCAGCTTCGTTTTTCTTTTTTTTTTTTTTTCTATTCACTTAATCAACCTACGAAGACAGAGAGAGAAAAAGAAAAGTACCATTGAGTGGCTGAAGCTACTCTGAACTGAGAATATCATGTTGTACAAACCAATTAACATTCCTCCCTTTGATTCTCTGGACTACAGTTTAGTGCTGAAAAGGCTCCTTTGATTATTATCCCTCCCCAACCAACTCTTTAGCCCTTCACCAATTACAAGATAAACTCCCTTTTGAAACCTTAAAAATTCTTTTAACTTCCTGTATTTTGAAGCTGAAAGTACAGAGCACAACAGAGTGAAATACAATGCTTTCTTCTGACTACCACTTTCTCTCTGTTATATGCAATGTGTGTATATATGTGTATATGCAATATATATATGCATTTTTACATGTGCCTGGTGCTGTTTTAATTTCTCTCCCTGTTACTACCTTTCTCTTTTTTTTTTTTTGCTCTTGCAGAAGAGATATTTTTGTTTTCTCTCCAGCTAGAGAGAAATTAATTCTGAGCCTAAACACTGATCCTTGCCAGCAACAGCAGATGACACATTATCAAAGACATCTGAGTAACTAAGAGCCACTTGCTGCTGTAAATCTGGGCACTGTCTGACTTTGTTTTCGTCTACCAGGCCCAGAGGTGGCTCAGTCCCTCAAAGGCCAAAGCTGAGCTTCAGCCCTAAGTAGAAGGAAGTTTTTTCTTAATTCCTAATGACAAATTGCAGATTTTCAGTCATTTACAAAGCCATAAATATCCTAAAATGCTAATGAAAGCTGCAAGGGCTGGCTTTGAAGGGATAAACAAGATGCATTATGAGTTTATTAATGCAAGGACATTTATCAGTACAAAAAACAATGGGAGCAGGAAGGAATATTACCAAAGGTAGGCAAATTCTATAGTAGAAAAAGCTTAGAGACTCCTTATTCGTTTTTGTCCTTTTCAGGCCTATCTGCTAGAGCATAAAACCCTTAAACAGACATCACGCCTCTCAGTAACCATCTTTTATTAATGACAACCCTATTAGCTTCGCATCTTGGAATGCTATTTGGAATAGCCAAAAATTTGGCTAGCTTGGGCACTGGCTAATGAGCACCCCTAGGGACAACCATTTTGTGGCTCAGAGCGTACAGCAGTGTCTCACCAGGGTGGCAGGCTATTGTTCCCTTTCAGAGACTGCTCAGATATGGGGTCAAACTACTGGAGAGACCTACGAGATCATTCCCCTAAAAATGCTGGAGGTAGTATCATGCAGACTGTTTCATCAACTGTTTAAGCTCCATCTTAAGAGCCACTAAGCGCTGACATACTAGACCAAAGTAAAGCCCATCTTAGTTGAGCGTGTTATGTGTGAGAGAAGTCAACAGCTAGGCTTAAAGAAAGAGCACAAGAAACATGTATGGAGTCATCCCTGATAGCCTTGCTGAGCTGCCAGCATTCAGCGATTCAGGATCTTCTGGGAGACTGCATCCAGACCAGTATTTTCAATAGCCATTGGTAGACCACACCTCCATGAATTTGTCTAATCCCTTCTTGAATCCATACATCTGGTCTCCAAAAGTTCTGGTCTCACAGGTTAATTATTAGTGTGGGAAAAAGTGCTCCACTTTACGTGGTTTTAATCAGCAGACCGTTATTTCCCCTTGTTACACATTTTGCCCTCTGTGTATTATCTGAAGACCATCCCAGAAAGTCACTCCTCTGATGGCTGATGCTTCTCGCTTCAGCCTGAGCCTGCGAGCGGCCAAGCCACTCCTGATGTTTTTGCCACTGGGAAATACACTGGAAGATACAGAGTTTTCTCTCAAGTCTCTGCAGGAGTACTTAGGACCACAGAGAGCTTCTGTGCCTTTGGTGACTGCAAGAATAAGAGGCAGACATGCTTGAGGAGGGGTGAAAAGAAAGAGGGAGAAAGAGCAATTTAAACTCCTCCTTCCTAAAAGCAAATTCATTAATCGCTACCACAGAGCAGCTCCCGCCTACCTGCTCCATTGCCAGGGCTGATTTTCCCTAACCCAGCACGGATTCAGTGTATTTCATACCATATGCTCTACCACCCAGACCACAGCCACTGAAATAAATCCCATTTATTCTACATTTCTAGGCTTATCGCTTACACTACATATCACCTATCCAGATGGCGAAAAGCAGAAGAGAAGCAAGGTGTCTGGGTGAGAAGGCAGAAAACAGAAGCAGCCTGGCCATGCCTCTGATGCACCATGTGTGCAAAAGGGTGAGAGGAAAATGTCCCAGGGCAGCCAGTAGCAAATGACAGAGAAAGGTATCGGGCTGTGTTCTGCTTCTTTAAGGTTAGACCAGGACTCACAGTAAAATCTGCAAGTGGGTGACCATGACAGTCCCTTCTGACAAGTGCAGAGGGAGGAGCAGAGGAGGAGACTGCGGTTGTTCCCAGACTAAGGAAGGGAATGGTCCCATGGTGCTCACCTGCTCCTTGCCGCTTGCTGAGAGAAATGCTCTGGCTCTGACAGCCCAAGCATTTTCTGCTCAGCTCTGTCAAAAAAAAAACAAACAACAAAACAACAACCCAAAACCAAACAGGAGCACTTTGGTACATAAAGAGTAGAATACATCTCTGCATTCTGGACTTTACGGGAGCAATACTGGCCATCTGAGATCTCTGGGACATGTTTGGAAGATTTCACATAATGGATGTGTTTCAAGCAGAAGCAAAGTATTTAAGACCTGTAGACCAAAATTTAGTGATGAAGGTACAGCTATGTTTCTAATGAAATGTATTCCCACGTGGGAAAAATAATCCCCGACCAGATACAGGTTTACAGTTGCCATGGCCTTTTACTGCTGTGATGCTACAGCAGTATGCTCACTTTGGGAAAAATTTTGAAGAAAAGCCTGTTCCCAGACAACAAACCAACCTCCATCACTGCAATCTAATTTTTTTGGAGGATTTTGTCTTTGCCCCTCCTCCCAACAAGCTCAAACTCTGGCACCTGGTACTGAGAAGCAGAACAGATGTCTGGGGGAGGGCTGAGAGCGTGTGTGCCTGCAAGGAGTTAGGCAACTCTGTGAGATACAAAGGGAATGAATTAAAAAAGGCATCCTCACATGATAAGGAAGAATATGTGAAACCTATACATATACCATGAAGAGAGAAGAGTTTTTACAATGCCAGGTCATTTACAACTGCCCCAGTCGTCCTAAGAGTCCAAGTATTCTGGTAAAACATTTACAGCTTTATAAAGTAAACCTACAGGACTGTTAATTACCTGATTATTTCAGTTTTAAAGACAGATTAAAATAAAATGCATTGTTGTACTTTATTATTTTTAAATAATTAAAGCAAATTTTTCCACGGACATCATCGTAAACACGTGCTGGTCTAGATCTCTGCGTGCATGGAGATGTCAGATCATGGCACAAGGAAGAGAATGGTTTCCTCTACAAAGCCTCCTACCAGCCAGCAATACATCCATGTATTTATAAACCTACTGTTGTAATATATGAGCACATAATGAATATTTAATCAGTAAAATAATTTCCCTCTCCTTTGCAAAATCAGCATTTTTACTATGTTCCTGGCTTATGCGTGCCTCTCTGTGTGAGCAAACAGAAGGCTAAATACGTAAGGCTTTCCTTTCTCAAGCTCTGTGTGACGAGGTCCCATGGCTACTCTGGGGGCTGGGAGAGTTGAGTCTCAGACTATGAAAAAAATCAACGTGTCACACTTTTCCTGATGCCAGAGGAAAGTCAGGGGACTCCATAGGTGAGCAGAGAGTATCGTGCAGGCAGCTACTGTCGACGGCATGGCTGAATGTTAACAGTGAGTGTTTATGCACTTTACCCTGCCTTCGGCAGAGAGCTGGCAGCAACAGAAGGATGGCTGGATAACATCCTCCTTCTGACCTTGGGACTCTGGACAAGAATGCACAAAATCCAACATCCAGGGCTCTGCAGCTCCAGAAAAAATCATGCCCAGGGAACAAAGGACAGTAGATCACATCAGATAGTTTCCAGCAAACAGCAGATCTTTGCCTCCTGTGGGGCTGAGCATGAACTTTTGAGGACATTTCCACTGCTCTTTATCATGTAAAAAGTGAAAATTTCTCTTTTGGTAGAAAAAAGCATCCAAATGCATTAAAAAAAAAAAAAGCCTTTTGAAAACTCCAATAAAATGGACATGTAGTCTTACGCAAATTTTTTTTTCTGCAATTACGTGTTTCTACATATTTTCAGTATTAGCTATCCCAAGTTGGCATAAAATGGCATGTCCTATATGCTCACTATTCATTACATAAGAACCATCAATTTTCTAACGTGGTTTTTCTATAATTGTTGGTAGATTAAATAACTAAAACAACAAGCAGCTAAGCCACGTGTTCACCAGATTACTAGAAAGAACAACACCGTTCCTCAAGGATTTCACTGAATTAATAAAAGCTACTAGATGAATTATATAGCCAAAGGGCAGTGACACAACCCCCCCCCCCCCCCCCCCCCCCGGAGGGTAGGAATCCACATGGCCAAGGGGGTAGTGTGAGATGGCTGCCTGAAGCCTGAGACATGAAAAGTCAATCTCATGACCCTCTTTCTTCCTTCCAGCCTACTAATTCCCTCCCAAGAAAATAAGCTGACCATTGCAAAGAATATGGCTGCACAGTGCTGAAAAAGAAATATATATATATGTTTTAAATCTCTAAGGTTACCACTTCAGGCATGCAGGATAAGAAAGCCTTTGACTCCACAGCAGGCAGGGATGCCAAAGATGAATAAAATCAACATAGTACCAAGGTAGACATCAGGCAATTGATCTTTGAGTTTAAAGCCACAATAAATTATTTGACATCCACGAATCTGCCAAGAAAGCTACTCATCTGGAAGATCCAGAGGAATGAGAGGGGGGAGGGAGAGAAAGAGATGGTGTGTACAGGCTGAAATGGGACAGAGCTGCACAGTCACAGTGGCATGAATAAAATCAACATAGTACCAAGGTAGACATCAGGCAATTGATCTTTGAGTTTAAAGCCACAATAAATTATTTGAC